ATTGAATGCTAACAACTTTCATCTTGGCCTGCTTGGATTAGCGGTTAGCTTAGCATAGTCATACGGCCTCTTCTGGAGAGCCCCAGCCACTAGCAGGGTGGTCCGGGCCAGCTGGTGGACTTCTTCCATCCGCTCCTTTAGGTGTCGCACATAATCCAGTTCGGGCACCCCCACAATCTCTGGTTCTGGAGCTGGCCCAAACACCAGATCCACTGGGGTCCGCAGCTCCCTCCCGAACATCAGCGCTGCAGGAGTGCTCTGGCTGGACTCTTGCACAGCAGTGCGGTACGCTCACAACACCATAGGCAAATGTAAATCCCAGTCTCTCTGGTGTTTGCTGGTGAGGATCGCCAGCTGAGTCGCCAGAGGGCGGTTATACCGTTCCACCAGCCCGTCACTCTGGGGATGCAACGGAGTGGTTCTAGTCTTTGTTACCCCCAACCGCCGGCACACCTCACCGAACAGCTGGCTCTCAAAGTTTCACCCCTGATCGCTGTGCAGCTCCTCAGGTACTCCAAAACGAGAGAACATCTCGTCCACCAACCGCTGAGCTGTAGATGCAGCGCTTTGATCCGGCATCGCGTACGCTTCTGGCCACTTGGTGAAGTAGTCCATGGCTACCAGAATGTAGCGATTGCCAGCCTCTGTAGTGGGAAAGGGCCCGAGGATGTCCACCCCGACCTGTTCCATCGGTGCTTCAAATAGGTACTGCTGTAGCGGCCCGCGGGAGCGCTGAGTGGGCCCTTTTTGGCTGGTGCAGACATCGCAGCAGTGAACATGGTGTTCCACGTCCTGACGGCAGCCCGGCCAGTAGAACCTCCACCGGAGCTGTTGCAACGTTTTGCTGTTGCCAAAGTGTCCCGTCCCCACTGCCCCATGAACCCAGAAAAGGACTTTTGCTCGAAGGTTTCGTGGCACCAGCAGCTGCAGGCGGTCCATCCCTCCTCCCGGTGCCTGCCAGTGCCGATACAGCACATCTCCATGCAGCCCCAAGCTGCCAAAATGTGAGTGCAGGTTCTTTAATTCAGCCCCATGCGAGGATACGGCAGGCCACTCTGGTCCGGGCGTCCCGAACCCAGGTCCTCACCTTCGCCAGAATTGGATCAGCCTCCTGCTGATCCTTTAGTTCCTCCAGGGAGAACAACTCCCTCTCCTGTTCCTCGGTAGCTTCCACTGCTGCAGCCAACGGTTCTTGGTGCTGCTCCCTCACTGCTGCCGGAACAGATTCTGGTTCTCGCTCTTCCTGGCGGAGACAGTAATGACACTCAGTCACTAAACATGGGCGCCGAGACAGCGCATCAGCATTAGCATGCTGGCGACCGGGGCAGTGCTGGATCTCAAAGCCATACTCCTGCAGAATCTCAATCAATAGCCAGGTGAGGCTAGCATGATCAGTCCGAAGCCTGAACTTGGTACCCAGCAGGTACGGCCGGAAGTGTCTCACAGCCAAAATCACTGCTAGCAGCTCCCGCCTGGTGACACAGTAGTTCCTCTCGCTCCGACTGAGACTGCGACTGTAATAAGACACAACTCTTTCTCCATCTTCACCTGTTTGGAAGAGCACGGCTCCCACTCCCACGTTGCTAGCATCTGTATTCACAACAAACGGTTGGGTGGGGTCCGGGTATGCCAGAACCGGCGCGTCAACCAACGCCTTCTGGAGCTGGTGGAAAGCTGCAATGCACTCCTCACTCCATTCGAACCGCCTGCCCTTCTCGACTAACCGATGCAGAGGGCTAGCCACAGTAGCAAGTCCTTTCACAAAGCGGCGGTAGTAGGGGGCCAGACCCAGGAAGCTCAGCAGCTCCGAGACGCTTCTTGGCACAGGCCATTCCTTCACAGCAACAACCTTAGCAGGGTCTGTTGTTACTCCCTGCTCACTGACGACATGGCCGAGGAAATGGGTCTGGCGAGTGAGCAGCGGGCACTTAGCAGGATTTAATCGCAGCCCAGCCTGGCGAATGGCAACAAAAACCTCCCTCAGGTTGCGAACAGCGTGCTCAAAGTCTTTAGCATGCACAAGCAAATCATCCAAATAAACCACACAGCGGTTGCGAGGAATCTTCTGCAGAACTCTTTCCATCAGTCTTTCAAAAGTAGCCGGGGCATTGCATAACCCAAACGGCATCACTCGAAACTGCCACAGTCCCTGTCCAATCGTGAACGCCGTTTTGGGTTTAGCCTCCGACGCCAGCTCCACCTGCCAATATCCACTGCGTAGATCCAAGGAGCTGAACCAGCATGGTCCAGCTACATGATCTAATGTGTCGTCAATGCGGGGCAGGGGGTATGAGTCTTCGCGTCAAAGCATTAAGCCTCCCGTAATCCACACAGGGTCGCCATCCACCCCCCTTCTTCTTCATCATGACAACAGGCACAGCCCAGGGGCTCTCTGATGGCTCAATGACCCTGTTAGCTGCCATGTCTCTGATAAATTCTTCTGCTACTTGGCGTTTGGCTAATGGCAGGCAATGAGGGCGGAGCCGTACTGGAGCGGCGTCTCCTGTGTTAATGCAGTGTTGGACCAAGCTAGTCCGGGTGCAATCCTCTTCTCGAGCAGCAAAGATGTCCCCAAACTCTCGCAGTAGTTGGCCCAAATGCTCTCCTTGCTCCGAGCTGAGGTGTTCCCCGCTGCGTTGTTCCAGCGCCTCCATAGCAAGCATGGCCTCAGGGGCCACAGTAGAAGGAACCGGCTTCTGTCCAACCTCCAGGCTGCTGGACGATACACTGACCACTTTCCACACTCTACTACTTTCTTCTACAATCTGCTCTTTAACTGTATTATTTTCTGCAATTTCAGCTGTTAATTTTATTTTCTCTCTAAGTGTTTTTCTCCCCAGAGGAAGCTACAATGATGTTCTCCTGAGCTGTAGTGGCCTCATGGAGGGGGCCATCGACTAGCACTCTGCTGCTAACCACTTAAACATTCTCCCTCTCCTGATAATAACTTTTTGCTTTCCTTGACGTTGGATGTGCTAATACTAGTTTACCCGTTTAATTATAGATTCACTAGGATAAATACAATAAAGTTTATCTCTCACCAAATAGAATATGTACTAAGAAATCACAATGTAACTATAGACACATTACTTTGTCGCGCGCGTGTGTGTGTGTGTGTGTGTGTGTGTGTGTGTGTTGTGTGTGTGTGTGTGTGTGTGTGTGTGTCTGCTCTGTCTTCTCGATCCCCAGTGAGTCGTGGAGGATGGCTGCTTATACTGAGCCAGGATTCTCTGGAGGTTTCTTCCTGTTAAAAGGGAGTTTTCCTCTCCACTGTCGCTTTATGCTTGCTTAGTATGAGGATTGCTGTAAAATCACTGACACTAGTCAGTGACTTGATGCAATTTGCTGGGTTCCTTATATAGGAAACATTTTTTCTGATTGGCTTAATGAACTGACCTGAATTGGAATGTTTATTATGTGAAGTGCCTTGAGACGACTCTTGTCGTGATTTGGCGCTATATAAATAACATTGAATTGAATTGAATTAAAAAAATACCGCGATAATACCGAAAACCGTGATAATTTTGGTCACAATAACCATGAAGTTAAATTTTCACACCGTGACAACCCTACACCAGAGTGCAATGTGGCCTTTCCAGCCTATCACTGGCAGGGCCACCACAATATAGTAAAGTGATTTACAGACTATTAATTTCTAAAGATTAAATTAAATCAATTCTGCCTGATTCCTGTTTAAATAAAAACAGATTCATCCCTGGAGAGTTTGCTGACCTTTTGACTGCAGGTCATTCAGGGTGAAGGGGGTATTCACTGTAAAAACCCCTCAGATGAACTGAAATAATCAGCTTGTTCAAAAGATCCAGGGACCATTGAACCAAGTTATTAAAAGCAAAGCCAGCAGGGAGTAAAATGAGGCTTTCTGAGATTTATATTCAGCGGCAAAGGCCATCTAAATTAGTCACAACTAAAATCGCCCAGTAGGAAGTCATTAATTTAGTCTATGATGAAATGAATATGATCCAAAACATAAAGATGGGTCTTATTTACAGTCGACATGTCTGTTTATAGGATGGCAGACTTCCCTGAGTTCTTTCTCAGACATTTTCATTTTATTACCAGTTTAGCCGTCGGTAATGACTCATCTTCCAGGCACTGCATCGCACTGCGGATACAAACACTGAGTAATCCAACGCCGTTAACATGTGATAATTTATCCAACAGCTTCAGAAACTTTGTGCTTTACTGTGGGTTCAATGAAATGCAGACACTCGACATACTGTATCATTTTTATGAGAAAAAACTCAAAGTATGGAGATAATATGCTTAGACACACCATCTTACATTTGCATATCCCAACCCACTTAAACATTGACAATATATAAACGTTGGTCACGGTAATGCCAACCGCAGGACAAGGCTGGCACAGGCTACTGCTAATGCTAGCATGAGCTACAGCAAATGCTAGCATGAACTACTGCTTATGCTAGCATGAGCTACAGCCAATGTTAGCCTGAGGTACTGCTAATGCTAGCCCATGCTACTGCTAATGTCCTTGGTGGACGCAAGGAAAACAGCAAAGAAGAATGTCGGAGCTCACGAGAAATGTTCCATGATGTACAGGGAATAGGCAAACTATGAATGAGTGCCAGATAGAGCTACAGTTTGCGATCCTTGTCCTCTTTCCGTACACTCACTCCGTTGTTCATGTGCACACCACACAGACAACGGATGGCCTGACATTCATTTTCTCGTTCATCTGCACCCCCCCACACACAAACATGCAATGTCATGTCATGTCCTGGTCGAGTGGGCGGGGAAAACCAGTCTTTGAATCAAAGGGCTTAATTATAAGGTTGTATTTGGCCATTTATCAAGGCTCCCGGGACATTTTGAGCCCCAACAAAGTTTCACATGTTACATAGAGGCTCAAAGAACAGTTTCTAATTGTAAAAAAAAATAAAATTTCTAGTATACCTTTAAATAATATTGTAATGGAGAATGTAAAGTACCCACAAATACACATCAATCCCTCTACTCACCGCTCTTGATCAGCACTACGAAACCGGGGCAGAATCATCTGTCTGAAGCTGCTGGTCCGGTCCAGTTTGGGCTGACTTTTTGCCCTCTTTATGGATCCCTTCAGCCTTCGATTGAGGAAACTCTGACAACAGAGAAACAAGGTTTATATACAAAAAAGGTTAATCTGCAATAAAAAATAAGCTCCTTGTGGCGTACTTACCGGCTGCCTGAAAGACTGAGGAGTAGTATTGGGAGGAGTCTCCATACTCGACTGTCTTACAGAGGCAAAACTTGCCCTGCGTGATTGGTCTGTGAGAAAACAGTGTCAGACATAAAAAAGGCAAGAATAAAACCCACAAATGCATTAACTTGAACCAAATATTTCCTAAGGATGAGTTTGACTTAAAAATACAATAAATTAAATATGTTTTTTTCTGCTTGAATCTATTTTCAATTTACATTCATTATTATGGCAGAACTATGATCACTAAAAACATAAATTATGGAAAATCTCTATAAAACTGCACGTTTATTTAAAATAATCATTTGGAACAAGTACCAGTGACAGTTTAAATAACTGCTTGCATGTCGTATTGAATATTAAGGCCAATTTTTCTGACAATTCCTACACAACTACATGAAAAACAACAAAAACTACAAAATATTACATCAAAAGTGAGAACTGGATAGGCTTAGAGTACTCAGAGGACAACTACAGTTTTATATATGAGAATCAAAATTTTTAAACGTCTTCCGATGAGCCTCAACATGGCGCCAACGTACACCAGGATAAATAGCAAGTGTTAAAAAAAGTCTGCACATTAAAATGGCCTCCCTGTTGGGCAAAAGCCACACAATTTCCATTTCTGTAGATTTTTGTTTTGCTCTAAATCAATTCTATTGGTCATCCTTCATGTACGTTTGCAATTTTATGGTTGAACATCATGGATAAGGTGCCAAAAAAGAATAAAGGTTTGGTGGTGCCGCTTCTAACTTCATAAGTGTTTATCAGCAACGTGGGCAGCCAATTCAAATCTAAAAATAATTAACAAGCGCCTTTGTAATGCTAATCATAGTAAAGAACTTGGTTAGCAACAACTTTTAGTAATGATTTTTTATTCAAAAAGCATTTTGAGACCATGCTTTTTATTTTTTTCTATCTACAAAAATACGCAACAATTAGGTTTATTGAGTTTAGCCACTTTTTATTATCCTGACAGAATCAATGGAACCGAAATGAGGCAAAACTTCCTTTAAAAACCCTTCACGAAGGAGCCTCAGAAAGAGGTGCACAAAACTTAAAGGATCATGAAGTTAGAATTACCTCCTGTAGTCAAACTTGGGTATTTCAGTCCATTTATCAAAACAATTGAGTCCACTCTGAATGACACTCATGAGTTTAATGGTGGTTGCTAGTTACAGAAGATTCTAGATGACAAGCAAAGATGAGTCATACACAGTAAGTTGATAAATACATTTGACTGTAATACTGAGTTGTTGTTGGTAATTAAAAATAGTAGCGTGACAATTTTTAGAGATGACTATTTGTTGCCAATTTTCTATTAGCAATGTTAGTTCAATGTTAGCCTCCAGTATTTTTAACCCGATTTTAGAGTAAAAACAAAAAGGCTGCTTGAGATATTACTTTTCTAATTATTTCACTGTAGAATTCTTACTTATTGCACCTTTAATGGGATATTCCACCCCTAAGTAAAATTTTGTTTGTTTCCATATTCAATAAATGGGGACAAGTATTTTGTAATGACCCCAGTCATTCTCCTAATCTGGTGGTATTCTGTCATCTTTAGCTTAGCATAAACAATGTAAGTAAATGGAAACAGTTAGCATTTTGTGTGAAAAAGCCATGATAACTAATGACTCAATAATGATCGTAATTTTTTTGTGACCTCAACAACCATACTGACTGCAAATGAAAATAATTCAATTCAATTCAAAATCATCTCCTTTGTTTTGTTCAAGTTCAAGGTCAGATGATTGTTTCCACACCATGCCACAAAGCGATCCACCAACTCTCTGTACTCAGCTTCCTGTCCATCTCTGATACACCCGACAACTGCAGAGTCAGCTGAGTATTTCTGTAGATGACAGGTCTCTGATTTGTACTGGAAGTCTGAGGTGTACAGGGTGAAAAGGAATGGTGAGAGCACATTCCCCTGTGGTGCTCCAATGTTACTGATCGCCTGATTTGATGTGCAGTTCTTCAGCCTCACAAACTGTGGCCTGTTTGTCAGGTAGTCTTTAATCCAGGCGATAGTTGAGGCCCCCACCTGTGTCTTCTGGATTTTCTGGCAAAGTACATCAGGCTGAATTGGGTTAAATGCACTGGAGAAATCAAAGAACATGACCCTCACAGTGCTGCCTGCTTTGTCCAGATGACAGTGGGTTGGTTGAAGCAGCTGGATGATGGCATCTTCAACTCCAACTCCATGGCGATAAGCAAACTGCAGCAGGTCCTGATATGTCCTAGTTTGTTTATTCAGGTGGACCAACAGGAGTCTCTCCAGAACTTTCATGATGTGGGATGTCAGGGCAACCGGTCTGTAGTCGTCATTGACTGATGGGCGAGTTTTCTTTGGAACTGGAACAAGGCAGGATGTTTTCCACAGGACTGGAACCTTCTCCTGTGCCAGGCTGAGGTTGAAGAGGTGCTGCAGAATCCCACAGAGCTGCTCTGCAGGTCTACAGTACTCTGCGGCTAACACCATCTGGACCTGCAGCCTTGTTCCTGTTCAGTCTCTCCAGCTGCCTCTTCACCTGACTTCTAGAGACAGATAGGTGGGAGGGGGAGGTAAATGGGCTAGCAGCATCTCCTGACTTGGTTGAAGACAGATTAATAGAACCAGAAGGGTTTGTTCCTGAACTGAACCTATTGAAGAACTTGTTCAGTTCATTGGCTGTGTCCAGGCTGCCATCTTGAAGTAGAGGAAGGATTGCGTGCTGGCTACCGCTCGCAGCATGCATCAAATTCAAATTGCTAACACTAGCATACAAAGTCCGAGACGGTATGGCTCCCATCTACCTGAATCCTCTTGCAAAGGCTTACGTCTTGGCCCGGCCGCTCCGGTCATCACAGGATCGTCGGCTAGCAGTGCCTACACCACGCTCAGGACAATCCAGACTTTTCTCATGCATCGTTCCACAAATGTGGAATGACCTTCCTAACACTACCAGAACTGCGGCTTCCTTTTCTATTTTCAAGAAACTCCTGAAGACCCTGCTCTTCAGAGAGCATCTTCTTAACTAGCACCTTGCCTGCACCTGTCCCCCCTCTCTACTGTCCACTCCTTGTTCCCTCCTCTCCATGACTGATGTCAATTTGTTGTTGTTACTATTGTTGTTAGCCTCAAGGGCAAAATGCCGATTATCACTTGTAAGTCGCTTTGGACAAAAGCGTCTGCTAAATACATAAACATAAACATACTTGAAGCCTGTGATCTTCTTCATCCCTGACCAGACATCTCTGATATTGTTCCTCTGTAGTTTGTTCTCCAGCTTCTTCCTGTATGCCTCCTTGCTGTCTCTGATCTTGATCTTCATTTGCTTCTGTATACTCCTCAGTAATTCCCTGTCTCCCTTCTTGAAGGCTCTTTTTTTCTCATTTATCAGATTCTTCAGTTCACTGGTGATCTAGGGTTTGTTGTTAGCAAAGCATCTCACTGTTCTGGTGGGTATGATGTGTCCACACAGACGTTTATATAGTCAGTCACACATCCAGTCATGGCATTGATGTCCTCTTCATATCCTTGGCAGAGAGTCATCCAATCTGTGGTCTCAAAACAACCCTGCAGGGCTTCTTCAGCGTCCTGTGAACATTTTCTCACTGTTCTTGTCACAGGCTGCCTCTGAACAAGTGATTTGTATTCTGAGCAGAGAAAAACAAGATTGTGATCTGATTGTCCCAGAGGAGGTCTTGATTTGGACATGCATGCATTCTTTACATTTGCATAACACAAATCCAATGTCTTGTTTTCTCTGGTGGAGCAGTTGACAAACTGTTGAAATGTTGGAAGTGTAGCAGAGAGCGAGGCATGATTAAAATCACCAGATATAGCCACAAATGCATTGGGGTGCTGGGTTTGTAGCTTAGCGACAACGGAACTGATGGCATCACATGCACTTTCAACAATGGCTGAAGGTGGAATATAAACGGTTGCCAAGACAACACTGGTGAACTCTCTTGGCAAATAATATGGGCGACAACTTACTACCAAGAGTTCAACATCTGGGCTGCAGAGACGACATTTCACTGAAATATGACCTGGATGGCACCATCTGTTGTTGACAAGCACTGCCACTCCACCTCCTTTTCTTTTCCCGCTCCTCTTCAGCTCTCTGTCTGCTCGTACAGTCAGGAATCCTGGCAGAGAGACGCTGGAATCGGGGATATGGTCCTGCAGCCACCTCTCAGTGAAACACATACCACTGCACTGCCGAAACTCTGGCTGAGTCCTTGAAAGGGCTTGGAGTTCATCCATCTTGTTGGCCAGTGATCTCACATTGCCCATTATGATCGATAGAAGAGATGGTTTGAATTTCCTCTTTCTCTGTCTACGTTTTGCTGCCGCTCTGCACCCACGCTTCTTTCGTTTTAGCTCATTTGGTATTTTTGGCTTCAGTTGAGGTATTATTTCAACCTTTCCAATGTTAATCAGCTACTCCAACATGCAGCCACACAGAGCAACGCAGTGCCGGAAATGATGTATAGGTATAAAAGATGAATAGGTAACACAAAGGAATTACAGGAGCCGATTAAGACCTGGGATGCATCACGACGAAGCACCGCTGAGGAGCAAGGACAAGACGTAATGGCCCCAAAAGACACCTACTTCGTCTGTCACATACTTGGCCATTTTTAGAACAACTTACCCTAAGTTTTCTTCAAGAAACTGTACTGGGTATAGTCTTAGTAGCCACACAAATGTGTTTATAGAAGTAGGTGTCTTTTTGAATTTGAATGATTGAAATGCTAGCTGTTACCATTCACATACATTGTTTATGCTAAGCTAAAGCAAATGGAATACTGCCAGATTATGAGAATGACTGGGCTGGTTACAAAATGCTAACTCTGGGGAATATGGCAACAGACTAAATTTCACTTAGAGGTGCATCATGTTTTTGTAATACAGACTATATGCCTTTATTTAATCTATAGAATGAGGTGCAATATTTATTAAAGTTTGCTCCTGAATGTGAGGGATTTAATAAATTTATATTTTACTCCTGAGGGATAACACAAACAAAGTGTATTTTAACTGACTGTTTAGTTTGTAAACGTTAAAGCATAAACT